CTTTAACTCCCATGACTGACCAAGACATATTTTCTCCTTACGATTTCAATACAACATCAAACAAACAACTTATGAGAATAAGGAAAATATACCTTGAGTGGATTATCAGTTGACCCAATACCAATTTCTCCAAATTACCATCATAAAAAATTGTATGATAGACAGAAAGGAGAATTACTATCATCAATATTGGTGAATATGTACGATTCGCTCTATTTATTGTTGAGCCCTAACATTTTAAGTGGCCCGCCAGGGTAGTGTGAGTTACTGCCCCTGTAATTCGCAATAAATTTTCATTCACAATTTACTATAAGCTCAGTGCATCCCCAACTAAACATCAGGGATCTTTCTGCTTGCACAGCTGCTGCAGTCGTTTTTTTTCACCACAGAAGAAAGGCACGATATTGTTCTTTAAATTTAAGAACCTGGAACAGCAACAAATCCCTATCAGTTTGATGTACAGAGCTATACATGTATAGCTGAAATCTTGAAGAATATTATCAGGATGGAATAAGCTCAAACTGTTTTACATAACCTCTTTCCTTTCAGCTGGTAGTCGTTTTAGCATACTCAAATGTTAGCGGTTTCGATAGATGTCGGCCGTCTTTGTCAAAACGTGTTAAGACTGATGGCTGACAGGCATCAGAACTGTCAACATCTAACCATAAAGCGAAATTTATATCATCACCTGCCGCGGAGAATTTCACGTTAAATTTCACTCTAACGGATAAGAGAAGGGGGCAGTACCTACGATAGACTATAGACAGGGTTGCACCTCTAGAAAGCTTGACACTTTCACGCTAAACGTATATAGAGAAAATGGTTTCAAGGGCTGCGGTAAGGAACACAATAAGGAAAGCTTCAACTGATGCTTTAAATTGAACATTACAAATGTTGCAAAAGAAAAATGAAATTTATAGAAAACACTTTTAATTTCCTTTCTTCTTGCTACTGCAAGACGTTTGAGTGTTGTTTTGATTTACTGAATTTAGATGAAAAGTACCCCATACTACAAGGAAAGTACACATATACGAAATATATATATCGAGCTGCTCAATAGTTCTTCGTCAACTAGGAAGAAGTATTTCAAACTCAGGGTAGGAAACCCCACCCCTGCCTCTCTATAAAATTAAAATGAACGCACCCTCCCCCGGTTCGCGTTCAGTTTAAAATGTGCATCATAACGGCTGCCATGTTTTAGAAAAACCCGTTTCTGCATAAATTCAAATGGTCAAAACAAATCCTAAAAATCTCCTGCAAAGGTACAAAACATGATTTTACCCATCCTCAACATGGACGTGACGCCGTTTGTACAGTTCCTGGTCTTCGTTGCATACATTGGTCTTATTTTTGGACTTTCTGTTGAACTTATCGGACGTAATCCATTAAACATGTTGAGAGTAAGAGATAAAGAGGAAGGATCTGCCATAAATGCAGAAGGTTCGGTCATAACAAGCGAAGATTCTATTACGAGCGACGGCTCTGCTATAAAGAACGAAAACTCTGTCAAAGAGATCGAAAACTCGGAGGGAAAAACATGTCTGGCTGACTGAGGTGAGATCGTTTTTTCGGTTATTGAGTGACATTGAGACACATTCTTCTTTGAAGAAGCTACCCGTATTCAGTGCATTCGTAAACCAAATATTTTATTTGCGTCAATTTAAATCCGTCCTAATAACCTTCATCGCCTTTCGCCATCCTCCTTCCTTCCTAAATATGATTATGTTGACTTAAACCGATTAGTTGACAAGGACAAGACTAATTTTCTGGGTACGTTCGTCGAATTCAAGTGGAAAAATGTAGATTATGGCGCACCAAGTTTCATATTATTTTTTCATTTTTTATGTAGACGCTGGAAGAAAGCCGACATAAGCTCAGTGAAAACCCATAT